CGTGAATCATATTGATTTTTTCGCTGATAATCTTTCTAACGTGTTTGGATTAATCCTAGAACAACATCTTTTATTGCTAGTTTGTTAAGGGGTATTTTTCTGCTGCCTGTGTGCAGTTAACGCAAGAAAGTTTTTGAAGTAACTGGCAGTGAAATACTTGAACACTGTTAATTTTGCTACTGGTGAACTGTCGTTTGTTTTTAGTTAAAGAATAAAGGACCCGAAAGAAAATCGACCAAATCCTGTTGGTTTCACTGTGAAAATAGTTACACTTTCATTTGTTTCTCGTTCCTTCAAGTGTTAGCTATTTTTTGTGCCAGTTGTTTATGATGTCTTTCTAGCATTTATTTTTTTGTCTCTCACTTATATTTCATCAAATTTCATGGACATGAAGTGAAAATGTGAGCCACAGCCAATATAGGGCTGAAATGCACATCTATTATTAATATTTTAATATTTTCTAGTGTAACAGCGTTGGCTAACATCAATATTTCCAAACTGCATCTTTCGCCAAATCTTGCTCTAGAAGTGTTTTTTTTTTAAATTTATTTTTAAAATATCTCATTGCATTCACTTCATTGATCTGTTTGAACGCTTTGGAATTCGTGATTGTGCACCGAATTTGAAGCTCTAAAAAGGTTTTTTCTGTTGTGAAGTTCTTATAAGAAGAGTTCAAGTTACATTCTTATTAAGTAGGAACCATCTGTTCATGGATGAGCTGTTTTTTGTTTATTTTATTTCCTGATAGGTCATAACAAGACAGTATTTGAGGTGGGAGGTAAAATTGGCGAGTTCTGTTGTTATGACAACTAAGTTGTGCCGCTGTGAGATCTTTAACGGTTATATAGGATGGTGCATTATTTTTGGTTTTTCTGGCAGTAGGTAAGGTATCGATTTGTTGTTCAATTCATTAGTATGCGGTGGGGTCGTTTTTCGCATTTTTTGAGTCTCGTTGTATACAGTGGTCTAAACTATGTGGAGAAGCTAGATTTTGTTTCTGGGGTTTTGTCATTTTTACTCTTCCTCTTTCTTTAACAGAAAAAGCATTTTTTCTTTTTAAAGACGATCAGGACTAATTTTTCTTTTACATTTTTGTCTGAAAGCTAATTATATCTGCGTTGGTTGGATCTTTTTCGCTGAAGGCTGACTACTTTGAGGGAATAATTTTAACTGTGTGAGCTAATAGCCGTACACGTTTTCAAAGTAACTGCCTTGCCAAACGACTGAAAAGCAAAGTGAATGATTGCTTTAAAAACTGTGTGTAGCGAATTAATACATCTTTTATAATTATTATGTTAATGAACTGGTTGTTGCATCAATCTTCTTTATAATTTAGTTCCAACATGTTTTCTGAACTGGAATGGAGCTGCGAATGCTTAACGGTAACTTTTTCCTTATCAGTTGATTTTACTTCGTGGCACGTCTCATCTTAAACTAGGAAATTCTCAGTTTTTCTTAATGTTCTTCAAATAAAACGGGGTTTTTCTCACCTCTAGTTGTAGTTTACTTTTTGTGCTTTGCTTAGAAGGCTTCTAATTCATAGTTAATGGTGTTGATTTTTTTGCCAAGTGGACAGTTTTTAATGTTGTACTTTATTTATTCTTGTCCTCTTTTCTTTCTAGGGGCGGTCATTTGGTAGGATTTTTTTGAGGTTAAAAAAGATTATTTACTGTCAACTGTCGTACATGTTTTGACAGATTTGGCGTTTGACATAGGATAGCAGTCCTTTAAAACAAGTCATTTTGAAATATTTTTTTGTTCAAAATGAGATCAATACATTTTGGCTCTTCTCATTTTGGGCATACTCGCTTCATAATAGTTTTTCACTTGTGCTGCCGAAATGCTTGTTTTACGGCTGGACAGAATGTTCGCTTTTCAGGATGGAGAAACAGCACTGCACTGTGCCGCTGCCAGAGGTCATACAGAATGTGTTCAGTCGTTGCTGGAAGCCGGAGCTCCTGTCGACGATCTTGATCAGGTAAAATGACACTGTTTCATTTTTGCTACTAGATAAATTCTTTCATTTGTTTTCAAGCGTGAATAATATTGGAGAAAGTAACGGAATGGCAGATAATTATAATTTTTATTTAAACATCTGGTTTGCTTTTTTTTCCAAAATGTTTGTATTGTAATGGTTTGCTTTCATTCCAAAGGTGTAGTTTATTTGCACAAGCTAGTGTTAAGGGAAGTGGATTTTGCTGTCTTATTTAACACTATGAATTTTAATTCGTTTATCCCCCTCAATTTGAGTTTTGTTCAAAAAGAAAGAATAATGATTTAGGATGGGCAAACTGCTTTGCATCTTGCTCTACGTCGTTCGCATATTGATATAGCTTTGTTGCTTATAACTAAAGGATGCAAACTAGACCTTCAAGACGAGGTGACAAGAAATTCTCCTGCACTCTTAATTGGTTTTGAATGCTTATTGAAACTCTTGAATTTTCATCAACAAAGGCCGTTTTTTTGACACAGTCAAACTGAATTTTCCATAAATTTTATAGCATTGTTTGCTTCGTGAATTTTTCATCATCAAAGTAAACTTCAGAACGGAGAGACGCCACTGCATATTGCTAGCCGTTTGGGTCTCCTTTCGGTGGTACAAACGCTTTGTCATCTAGGCGCCGCAATTGACATTCCTAACACTGTGAGGCTTTTGCCTTCCTTTTGGCAGGGAAATGTTAGAGGGATAAGAACGCCTACGAATTCACAGCTTCCAATTCGTTTTGTAACTCAGATCATGTAGATCAGTTTACTAGCCCTTTTAATCAATATTAATTTATCATTTATTTCTCTTTGCTTAATTTATTATGCAATAGCGTCTTGTTTTTAGTTTTCCACTATTCAGCCTTTCGGGTTTCTAGAATTATTTCTGCATTGTTTCTTTTCACCTTTCTTAAAGAGTTTGATACGTGTTTTGAAAGGATACATTAATGCTGATTTTTAGGGTTCATTAACAGCTTTGCATATTGCGGCGAAAGAAGGCTTCATTGAAATCGTACGTTGCTTGTGCTTTTTTGGAGCGAACGTTTTGAAAAAAAATAAGGTACGTAAGCGGAATTACCTTGGTTAGGAACATGTGAACGTGCTGCTTTAGAGACTTTTTAGGCTGTCAAGTAGAGTCGGTCGTTAAAAGTTTTTGGTTCATAACTTATTCTCAGATTTTTAACGAGAGAGCCTTAGTAAATGCTTGTACCATTCTTGCATTATGGTTTTTGGAACTTGCAAAGTTTATTACAGGATGGACTAACTGCAGAAATTATTGCTCTTGCTCAAGAACATACAAATATCGGTACTCTCCTTGCTAAAATGAAAACCGTAAGTATCACTTTTAGCGGTTTTAATTTTAAGGAGTTAAATTCAGGCGGACTTTTAGTAGTCAGACTAACTGGACAAATTCAGTTTTGCACCTTTAGCATCAAGAGCCACTAGGAGTGGGAGTGGGATGTTGGGGTATTCTAAAAAACCCGCTTGACAGATCCGGAAGTTTTTTGGTCGATTTTAAGCCAGGACCTTTTTTTAACAATTGATTGAATTCTATACTCTTCTTTGATTTTTATCTGATGAACGTAAGGTGAAAGTTGTTCTTTAGCAGTGTTTTCGCTGGAAGTACATATTTTTGGGTAGATCTAATAAGTTGAGCGATGCTGAACTTGCAGGCAACCTCTGCTGGTGATTATCATAAGTTCTATCAGTTACTTGCCTTTATCTCCTGCTTCATTCTTGTAAAACATAAAACCTGGTTGAATACTAGTTGAGCTAAATGTAAACATACTTGTCGCTTCGTTGTTCTAGGCGAAAGAACTTTATGTTGAGCAACTGTGTTCTTTGGAAACTCCCTTACGGCGGATAAAACTGAAAGTATTTGGTCATTCCGGAGTTGGTAAATCACGTCTAATATGTGCTTTACAAAGCAGTAGCGTTATTGGAACATTGATAGGTGCTGTTTCGCGAAGATTTTCTGATAATCCTTCACCGTCTTCGTCTACTGCAAGTTCCTCGAAGGGTCAGTTTGTTTTTCAGGGTTTACAGTGGGATAAGAGTAAATGGAAAATGACCTCGACACTAGTTTTCAAGTTCTGTATTGAGCTCGATTTTAGAGCATTCTCCGATTTGGAGTTCCAATATAAATATTGAGTATTTTAGATGAAGGCCTAAGTTCGACGGATGAGTCTGTGGAATCTAATAATAATCACAGAACTGCAAAGCGCCGTGGTCCTCCACATTTACAGTACACTCGTGGAATAGATGTACAGAACGTAACTTTGCAAGGTCTCATTTTTATTCGATCTACTTATTTTCTCTTTTGTTTTCTCTTCATAACTTTTACTTTATTTTTGAGGTTGCGGTGAGTTCTCCGTTTGGGAGTTTGGCGGTTACAAGCCCTATCATATGGCCTATGACCATTTCGTAGGTAACACAGACTGCATCCACATGGTTGTTTTTCGCAGCACTGACCCAACAGAAGTGCAGTATAAGCAAGTACTTTATTGGATGAACTTTTTGAAAGGAAGAGTTACACCTAGTGAGCCTATAGGACACTGCGGCATCGTTTCTCGTCGTAGCAAGGTTTTCACAAATGAATACTTGGAAATAAACCTGGTTTCAAAAGTCGAATGATACTTTTTTTTGTTTAGGTCGTCATAATTGGAACTCATGCGAGTGCCTCGCTCTTTCCACAGAGAGGCGTTGATGGAGAATACATATCATCTGATGGTGAAGCAATGTTAAAAACGATAAAATTGCGCTTTGAAACTCATTTTGATATACATGACCAACTAATTCTATTGGATTCAACTCATACAAGCTGTCCAGGTAGAATGTTTCCGTACCGTCAAGATATCTAGACGCCTTGTATGTGGGATTTATGAAATTTATTTGTAGGCATGAAAAGTTTAAGGAATTATCTCAGCAAAGCGAGAGAAGGGATTCTCTCAGTAAGTTCATTCGTAACTTCTCACTTATTTGTTTTCGACCCACTAGTGACTGACTCTTAGTTTAATTATGTCATCTGCAGAAATAATGGTCCATCAGTTCAATTCACATAATTTTAGAAGTTGCAAAAGCCGATGGGACTTGTGGATGCATGCATGCAGTGCCTGGTGACGTTAAGAAAGCAATATTGCCATTTCCCCGTTTTAACTTGGCCTAACTTTACTGAAATATTAAGGGATGACATAAATCCTCTGGCTGGAGACAACCACTGTAGACAGCTAATTCAGCAGTTGCAGCTCATTGGGGAGGTTTGTTTTTTTTTAATTGTTGATTACTGTTAAATAATTTGTAAAATTGTCTCGTGATGCTGTAGTTTTCCCAAAACTGTTGTTTCTAGGTAGTGTATTTGCGTGACGAAACATCAGAGTTAGATTATGTGGTGCTTTCACCTGAATGGTTGGGGACGCATATCATAGGCTATTTATTGTCAGCAGAGTTCCTATCACGCTGCAGGGCCAATGGTTGCTACTCTGTTGATGACTTTTCTCAGATATATCCAGAAATTGCGGAGCCAGCAGATTTGATTCGGATTTTGGATACATTACAGTTCTGTGCTCCTTTGGATGGAAATGGAGAAGCAGATTGTGAATTCCCAGCGTTTGATGTCCTTGAAGTACCACGGTAAGACTAAGTCTTCCGAATTTTTCATAGTAGGTAACATATTTCGAAATATTTGTTGCCTCTTAGTCTTTTAGTAAGAAATAAGTGAAGTAAATATGAGTCGTTCTATTCCTATTTCCTGTTACCATATTCTTCTTCAAAGAGTTACGTCTATAAAAACGTTGAAATTTGTGCAGTGACATCTGGCTTCGTGACCGACCGTCGTATGTCTATGGAGGAGTAAGGGTACTTCCTATGAGGGGGATGGAACGTTCTTTGCAGAGTACTTTTCCCAGAATTCAGGTTGCTTTACGTAGGTCCATGAGAGATTTCCAAGTAAGTGTCAGCGTTTCCTCTCCATTCTTTTATTCTTTTGCCAGGTCCCGTTTGGACATATGCTTTTTGCCTCTTGTAATCATTACTAAATTCCAAAGTTTCTTCACTTTTCCAGCCCTTTGTTTGGCACTTTTCTATCTAAGTTTGGCAGAACACGCACTCAAATGTTTTTAAAACTTTGTGGTTAGAGGTTGGAGCTTCAGAACAAATGCTTAACTTTTATAACAAAATTTTCAATTCAGGATCCTATGGATGCAGATTTATCTCAGTGGCTTGACTGCAGTAAAATGAGTTCAGGACAAATGGAGGCGTTGATACGGTTACATCGTGATGCTGTAGAAGTTCAAGTTAGAGGTCCATGTGAACTTGCAACTTCCTGTTTTTATTTCTTAGAAGATGTGACCAATTTAGTAGAACAAACTGCGCAGGAAGTAGCTCCTGGGATCTCATTGGAGCGCCACTTTTTATCCCCAAAACACCTTCGAGTATGTCTCTCAAAATTTGAATTTTATCCAACCATTTATCTTTACTATTCCTCTTTGCTAAATGCTAAAAAAACTTGTTTGTCCGGTCTGTTTAGGAGCACCATCCAAATCCTGCAGTTTACGCACCGGAGACAATAATGGCCATGCAACAAGCAGAATCATTAACTATCAAAAACAATCAAGAAGGAGAAGAATATTTTACTGATGTAGTTTGTTTCGGATCCAGAGATGTAGCTGCAATTTTGACTCTTGGAATAGATGTAAGCGTTGCCCAGTTACAATTGGCGTCTCGTTGCGAGTTGGCATCACTTTTAGATCCTGCTGATGCGATGGGAAGGGATTGGTATGTTAGTCACGCTGTTTCACTTTCAAGGCGCTCACCTAGAGTCTTTCTGCATCTACCTTTGATCATTCTCTCTTGCAAGATCATCTTTATTGTTGTAGGTCAATTTTGGCAGTAAAATTATCTTTAATGGATCAGCTCCCCGAAGTTGACTCAACTGGTCAGAGCCTTTCGAGAACAGATCAACTTCTTGCTGAATGGGCTTTACAATGCCCAGAAACTGCAACTGTAGGGCGTCTTTGCAGCGTATTAGAGGAACTTGGAAGACAAGATGCCAGAGATGCTTTGTACAGGTGACTGATTGAACCTCGCAGAATCTTTTGGGGGTGTTGCACTAAAATGCATTGTAGAAATGGTGTAGGAGCAGCTTAGATAAGCTACGATGTTTTTAGGACTGTCCCGCTTTATCTCTTTGCTCCTCTGGATGAACAACCGTCAGCCAACTTGATCGACTGTAGGGACTCAGGTGTTGTGTCCTCAACGCAATCGACAACTGATCCAAGGTCTACGTCTACCCTTTCTTGATAATTTCTTGCTGATTTCCTTCGAAAGTAGCTTCTCAGCTACTAAATTTAACATAAACATTTGATGCAGTGAAGTCTTCTCTTTTTTTTTTCTCCTAACAGTAAGAACTAATTATTCGTGATGATTGTGTATTAACCATCTAGGGATTTATTGTATGAACCATTGTTTTTTTAATACCACTCCTGAGTGATCCTGAAGACTTGGCATAATTTCATGTTGCATACTGTTTTTCAGTCAAAGTTCTCCGTCATAGTGCCTAGTAAACTTGATTTTCATATATATGAGCAGTTATTATCTGTTGAGGTTTTTATCTGTATTATAAGATGGATACGCTGTGCATTGTTCTTCATCTCTAGGTCTTCGTTTCTTTTGTCGTTTGTGTGAATTAGAAGATAATTGTTGAAGGGTTGGGTCAATTGCCCCTTTTTTTTAAAAATAAGTAGCAAAGAAGATTAAAGTTTTAACAATTAATGGAGCTAGCCAATTTTTATATGCACAAACTAACCTAGGGAACTTTAAAATCCTGAGAACATTTCGCGGTTGTTTCTGAAGGAAGCGCCTTCTCTGTTCAGTTATTTTGCTACTACATTTTCTCTTTGGTTCCCCAATGCTCCTAGTCTCCCCTCCCTCCCCGCAGTTTCTGTTGTTCTATGGTCCTTGCAGTTACTATGTTGTGATCTGTTTGTAACCCTTTTGTTTTTAAGTAATTACGCAAATGCGGGTCATATTTTTTCCTCACCCTTTGCTTTGATTGCTTAACTTATAAATGCCCATCAATTTGCTCATATTTCTTTACAAAAAGTACCTATGTGATAAAGTATAACTCGTTCTAATGGTCTACAACATTTAAAACATATGACTTCAACAGCAAAGCTCATTTCCACCGATGACCTTCTGCAATGAACTTTCCCGTCATCAGACTCCTAACTTGAACAGACAAAACTTCTCTCCTACATCATTTCTTGAAATACGACAGCGATAGGAATGAAACACGAGAGCTGCAGATGAACGCTGATTTTAGTGCCCAAAGTTCAAGCTTCTTGCCGATAACGCGCCTCTATTTTTGTTGCGCTTTATTATGTCTACTTTGCTCGTTGCAACACATTACCTGTCAAACAACCGTGCTAGGTAGTTGGGATCCCTCTGATGAAGCAAAAGTTTAGCATCCGTTCACTAGTCAATGAATGGTGCAATAACCCTATGGATGACCATTTCGCCAACAAGAAAGTATAAGAGTTAAGCGGCTAAGCACGCTTCACTGCAGCAGCACCGACCGCAATCGCTCCCGGACCTACCTCAACTATCACACGTTCGCAATACACTATACACCATTTCCGCACTGAACGCCAGAAAAAATTTGACAACAGCCACTGCGCTTAACCCGCATGAATACCACATTCGTGAAATCATAACCCTGGAACTCAGGAAGATAACAGTTTTCATTACACAAAACAGCTGTAAATCTGATATCCCCAAAATAACTCTATCTTTTTGTGGAGAGGAAACTCTTACAGCTCGTATCTCAGCGCCCTTCGAATCAACTATTGCAAACTTGTGTCTTCGGGAACTTAAACGTGGATATGTGGGGGATGCATATGCAAAGCATCCAGAACATCCGGGCAAACTCAACTTCCCGTTTTGCTGTTTCCATCATGACCCGCATTAATTATAAGTGTGGTGGCATGGAAATAAAGAACTTTGAGAAATGCGAAAATATTAACAAATAAAGATTATAACAACCACAAACCTTGGTGGCAAACACTCCCTCCGGTGTCAAAGCAGGGTTAAAAAAGTGTGCAACTACAGTAGTGCTAGGTCCTAGGCTTCTCCCAAATAGCTTACGAGAACGACCAGCAAAAATGAGGAAAAGTGCTGCATTTGGAATACTGAGCAGGAATAAACACTCCGACAAAAAACTGAAAGAACATGACATCTAAGCGTCACTCGACAGACATGTAAATGACTTAACTAAAAGTGAAAAACGAAGGAGAGGTATGGTCATAAATTATTACAGAAAGCTGAACAACATAATTTAAAAGAAGAACGAATTCAACAGAAGCTGTGAAGTGAAGAGGCAAGGAGGTGCAGTAGCTACCCAAACAGGCAACAGCTCCGACACCACTTCGATATAAAAGTGACTAGCAGTGCCCCTGCTCATTTTGCCGCGGAGAAACAGTCATTCCATTTGGCAACCGCAGGGGAAAAAAAGTACAAGCAACCTGGTTATATCAACCTTAATCAATGCCGTACTTCTAGTTTTTACTGCGCTGCCTGTGAAGTTCCATTATTGAGTAGACGTCGACAAAGACAAAGCAACAATAACTGATTCAACTTACTGCTATTGTGCAGTGTTAGTGAGAAATGGACGGCGTCGGTCAATGGCGTCTCTAATGCAAGAAACTGAAAGATGTAGAGGATTTTTAAAAGGCAGTATGAAAACAGAGTAGTACTAGACAGAAAAGTTGCCAAGAAACTTGCTGACAGTGACTTTACTTCAAGGGATGTCACCAGTACAAAATTTACTTCAAGGGATGTCATCAATACAAATCGGCTTTGGTCTACATAACACAGTGGCAAATAACTGCGGCCTTATAAAAATGCATCAGTCTAACTGCTAGTATTCCTGAAAAGAAAATAACCGAAGTAAACCTATTAGTAACATGACTATACGGCACCTCCATCCGCTGATTCGCTTTGGTTCTGCTGTTGATACATTACCTAAAACTGTATCAAGGAAGTGAGGAAAGCAAGTCTGCCAATCAATCTCAACAACTTTTGACGTATTCTAGAAAGTTATTTATTTGTAGAAGTTGTCAACAGATTTTTGCTAATTGTTTTGCTCGACAAACCTGACAGCAAAATTTAGTTTAAAATGAAAAAAAAAAAAAAAAAAGAGAAGATTCAACTATTTCATCTTTAAATAGGAGATTCACTGCAGTAACAGCGCGGCACTCGAACTAATTAGAAGTCTGCTAAAAAAAGAGACAGGTAGGAATAACAGCTGTCGAAAAAAGGGACTGAATGATTAACAATGACTGCTGTAACCATTTTTTGCAGGTCCAAAGTTGCTGTTGCTCTTCAGACAAGTGCTGTATCAAAAAAGATCAATAAACTTTTCTGCTTTAAATTTTACCCAGGAGACCACAGAAACAAATTTTACATTTTTTTTATTCATTTCGGTTTTCTTTACACAGTTACTCCAGCAAAAACTTCACTTTTGCAGACAGGCAAATCAAACTCGTTTCCATCAAATACTTGGACGGCAGCTGAAAAAGCTTCATTTCACGATAGCTCAGGAACAAATGTCTAACGCTAAATAATGCCAAATTGAATGTTAGTTACCAGAAAAAAGAACTAAAAAATGTTCAAGTCTTTATGTCGTAAAGCCGTGTTGCAGAGCACTTTTTTTCCTTCCTTGACTCTTTTTCATCGTCCTCCTAAAAGAACTAAATGCTTTAGTTCTTCGTTTCTTCGGGGGGTGTATAGCTTGTACTCCATTGACAGTGTACGAAAAGAATAAGGACAGAAAAATTATTAAATCTTGGATGAGTATGAAAATGAACAAGCGTATGTGGTACGACATCAAATATACATACCATTAAGTAGAACAGGCAGATTTTGAATTTAGAAAGATTTAGAGTATCTGTGGATAAAAGAAAGGACTCTCTTCTTTCTTTTTAAAAACTTAGTTGTCATCTCTAGGCCGTGTTTTGGAATTAAAACAAAAAGAAAGCTTTCTTTTTTTGACAAACTTCAGCGAAAAATTAAGAAAACTGAAAACGATAAGGGATGCTGAGAGGAGATTATATGCAATAACAGTAGCAAAGAAAAAAAAATGAAATAAAGTAAGATAAAATAAAATAAAAATAAAAAGTGAAGGAGCTTAGAACGAAACTGATATATCGGGGTGAAAGAATGTTTTTGCTAATGTATGTATGTAGTCGCAGGAAGATTTGGGGCCTTTTTCGTATTTAGGGTGACATAAAGAAATAAGATATGTGTTGATGTATTGCCACTGGGCACTCATCACAATCAATACAAGCCATGGTCGAAGGCGGCATCACCCTGGTCAAATATCTTCTATTTTTTGCCAATTTCATCCTCTGGGTAAGTCTTATAAACATTAGAATTTCTTCATCAATTGTCTTGCTTATTTTTCCACTAGTAAATTAAAAACTTAAAAACATTTACCTTTACTGCACTCGTTTCACCGTCTTAGCAAGACGGTAATTAGGACGACAGTTCAAAAACCTCTTGTAACAAATCTCTCTTAATTGAAAGATAGTTAACCATAATCCGTCCGAACAGTCTCAGCTTTATTTTGACAATTTTAAACACTTTTATTTATGGATCTTAATTTTTACTGCTTCTTCATCTTGAAATCCACACGGCATGCTGCTTTGCTGCCGCTGCTACCGTTACTGTCCGTCAACCCGATCATTTTGACTTGTTGACGGCTTTCGATTTTTTCAAATTAAACATTTTCTTTAGTTTACCTGTCTCCAACATATTTCAGCAACCACCGCCGAAAACACTAAACCTCTTTCTTCTATTTTGCAACTATCAATTGTTTGAAAATGGCTGTAAAGTGCTTAAAGGCGTTATTGAAGGTGTTGCATTTGATCTCTCAAATACTTGACTGACTATGATGACAAAAAAAAAAAAAGTTGCATGCTCGTAAAGTGACTCTACAATGGAGTTTGCTTTTATGAACAAAAACAATCGTCAGCCTTATTTCACTAAAAAAGGACCTTTCCTGACTTTCAAGAAGGCTGCAATATTTTCCAAAAAAAAAA